CGGGTAGAAAGCCATTTCTACTCGGAAAAGCTCACCGGAAGCGCTGGCGCCGCCATCTTTTTTTGATGAAAAAGTGCTTCCGGTGAGCTTTCTACCCGGAAAAGCTCACCGGAAGCACTTTTTCATCAAAAAAAGATGGCGGCGCCCAGCAAGCCAGCGGCCCGGTAGGACTTGTTCCACGGACCGGTGGTTGGGGACCCCTGATCTAAACCACCCGGGTTAGCCACTTGGGTTAATTGGGTCATTAATCAGAGCTTTGGGCGAGGTAGTAGACTCACTTTTCTTTTCCCAAATCAGGTACAGAAAAGTCATGCAGTCTCCTGGGTTATGTGCCAAAAACTGAAAAATAAAGAGACGTTATGAATTCTGAATCAACACTGTCATTTAGACTGACAGTGAGATTTGCAGTATTATGAATGCAAGCTGGCTATTCATGAAAGGGATCATAGCATGGATTCCTTTGTCCACTCCCCAGTAAAATCTACTAATACTCCCCATTACCATGAAGGAACAATGTTTCCCTGTTTAAAACCCTTATCCAATGAAACAACCATTCCCCAAGTCAGATCAGCCCACACAGTGGTCTTCTGCAAAGTAGAAAAAAGGCAAGTTTTTCTACAGTGCAGAATATCTGGGGGATAAAGAATGTGCACCATCCATATTACTGTTACCTTGTATTAGTAATTATGTGCTTAATCAGGGCTGGTTGTAGGCCTGGGCAATGTAAACAGTCTCCAAGAGCACCAAATTCCAGGGGGTGCCAAACTGAAAAAGACATCTGAAGTACACAATATAAGTCTGATCATCTTTCCTTGTTGCTTTAGAATTTTTTTCTAGTTTTTAAAAATCCTTTACCCACAAAGTCAGTTACATGGTTAATAGCCCACTAATCACAGGTTATAAGTCACACAAAAATTATTACAGCATTACAACTAAGGACTTCAGGAAGCTGATTTTACTGAAGTAAGATAAAAAGTCTGATAAGGAGGTACTGAGCGAGCAAGTTGTTTGACTATGGAGCTTATCAAAGTTATACCCAAAAATGCAGTAATGGTGCGCTCAGTGATACTCTGTTAAGCTCCAGTGATTTACAACCAGAAAAGCAAGACTCCCAATTTATGGAGATGAAGGTTCTTTGAAAGGAAAATAAATATTGGAAACTCCATGTGTTACTTTGCCCTCACTTCTCAATGAGTTTAAGGCAATACTTTCATACTGCTCTGGTCTTCTTTACAGTTGAATGAACAAACTATCCCAAGGCCGATCTTCATTTTCAGGCTCAGAAAATTCCATCATATCCTCTTTATGAAAAAAATTATAAATTTGTCCCTAGCAACTTTAGGGGTTCCTGAAATACTGAGTAGCCAATAACTTGAGCTAGACGGGCCCCTGACCTGCCTCTGAAAGCTCCTTCAGTCCCACAAATAAAAAAAGGTGCTATATGAACAGCCTATTTACCTTTCACCTGCTTAGCAATCTTGTAATCTGGCATGCACTGTTGTCATTTGCACGCTAGGGTCACCAAAACCTGTGTTACCACTGCCTGGCCTGTGGAAAGTGATCTGTAGATAAATGCAGCAGCAAAAAATACGTCTAGAAAACTGGCCTTGGGCAGCATTTCTGCTCATGAATGTTTTTGTGGGGGAGGCTCCTGGTGAGTCTCTAGTCATGTGCAGGCCACACCCACCCCAGCTCTGCAAAGGGGAAAAACGTCACGAAATGTCATGTGACAGCAACATGATGCACTGAGTTTGACACCCACCCGCCTGGACTATCCCCTGCAGTTTTCCTGGCAAGATTTATCAGAAGTGGATTGCCATTGCCTTCTTCCTAGGGCTTAAAGAGAGTGGCTGGCCTAAGGTCACCCAGCCACCTTTTTGCCTTAAAAGCAGCACTTGAACTATGGTCTCCCAGTTTCTATAGCCTGATGTCTTAACCAGTGCTCCCTTCAGGTTCTCACAAAAAAGTTTAGTGAGGCATCAAATTTCATTTCATTAATGAAACAAAACACCACACTTCAAAATCAGAACTGGGTTTCGTCCAGTGGCCTTCCGGCTCTCTGCAGGCCAGACATGGTAGCCCTACAAGCAGCCTCTCCTTATAACTTCTAAATTAAGCACCTAATCCAGGGGTTTCCATGGGAATTTTGGGAGTTGAAGTCCACAAGGCTTAAAGTTGCTAAGTTTGGAGACCCCTGACCTGTATGAAGAAAAAAAAGGGGGGGCACTGGAATTCCAGCTTCTCTAAATGCCACACCTCAGCCAGCTGTTGTTTGGCTTTGGCCTCAAGAGGAACTCCTCAGGCTCTCCATGTCCAAGAAGCATGAGCGTGGAATAGAATAGAATAACAGAGTTGGAAGGGACCTTGGAGGTCTTCTAGTCCAACCCCCTGCATAGGCAGGAAACCCTCCACCACTTCAGACAAATGGTTATCCAACATTTTTTTTAAAACTTCCAGTGTTGGAGCATTCACAACTTCTGCAGGCAAGTTGTTCTGCTGATTAATTGTTCTAACTGTCAGGAAATTTCTCCTAGGTTCCAAAGTTGCTTCTCTCCTTGATTAGTTTCCACTTCTTGCCCTGCCCTCAGGAGCTTTGGAGAATAGCTTGACTCCCTTCTTATTTGTTGCAGCCCCTGAGATTCGGGTGAAACACCTAAGATTCGGCTGGGCCGCCCCAGGCCTCAATCTGTTCACAGAGACCAGGGCTCTGTGTACGCGCATAACTTCCCCGTGAGGGGAAAAAACCAAAACAAAACTCCAGCGCTCCAACGTGCAGCCTTGCTGCCTCTGCACTGCCTGCTCCGAGCCAAACCCGGAAAGATGGCCTTCCCCGGGCGGTTGGTTGTAGCAGCAGGCGCGCAGAGCGACCACAACCCCGCGGTTTCCGAGCACATTCCTCCTTTCCTGGGGCGGTGGCTCGCTCGCAAAATCTGGACGGCGGCCCGGACCTCTCCCGCTGACGAGGCGCTGGCTTCCCTTGTTGGCCGAAAGTCCCTGGGACTTTCCCTCGCGTCGGGCTTTTAGCTGGGTGCCGAGCCTGGGGAGGGGAAGCAAGGCAAGGAGCCGCAGCGGCCCAATCAGAAAGGCGGCGAAAGAGGCGCGCGGTTGCGTTGGTGCCGGGTTTTGTGTGGTGTGTCTCTGATGTGTGTCAGTCTGTTCCAGCGTCGGGTTGGGTCCGGAGGAAGCGAGGAAGGCGCGTTTAGCGGCCGCGCCGGGATGCAGGATGACCGAAGCAGGCAGAATTCCCCGTAAAACGACGGGTTCCACCTTCTTGCACCCCGTAAGCGACCTTTTCGGCATCCCCCTCGAGCAGGTGAGCTAACCAAGCGCGGCTTCCATTTGCAATGAACCTCGGTGGAGATTCTCAGTCATGCAGGTCAGGGGTATCCAACGTTAAAGTTGCTAACGTTGGACACCCCTGATCCAGGTCACGGTTGTCCGTCCCCCCCCCCCAAAGGTGCTTTCTCCCAAAGGCAACTTGACTTTCTTGAGGATTTCCTCCCCCCTTTCTTTGAAAAGGTGTCGCTTCTCATCCGAGAAGCTTCTTCAGTTCTCTAGAAAGAAAAATCTAAAGGAAGCCCAGTTGCCTTTGGGGGAAATTAAAAAAAAAAAAGTATCTTTGGGATTTGCAATGAGTGGTCAAGGGCGTGCGAGGGGTAACGGCGAAAGCGGCCCTTTGCTGACCGCCGGCGCGAGGGAATAGCAGGATGGTGATGCTATCATTTGCTCTGCCTTTTGCTAGAAAGTAGTGGAGCTCAGTGGTTAGAGGGTTCTTAGGGCGAGGCAGCGTTTCTTTCCCGGTGCTTGATGGGAAACACCTGTGTCTGTTAGGGCATTGAACTCGTCGCTTTCTTGGATTGGTTGTGCAAATATAATATCTTTTTAAAAAGCAACAAAACCTCATATGTTTTTTTCCCTCAAAAATAAGTCCTGACTTCCAATCTTATGGTAGGGTTAAAGATGGGCTTCCACCTGCAAAGGTTGAAAGCTAATAATAGGGTAGGCTGTGATTTACTTTGGGTCTAAGAACCAGGAGGAGGACAGAAGGGGAAAAAGGGAAAGACATTAAGAATTAAGTGCAGAAAATAGTAACAAAAAGGAGGAGAGAGGGAGAGAGTATGGCAGCGCAAGGCACTGCTGAAGATATTTTTTTATTGTGATTAATTGCATAAGTAACTTCCTTATCGACAATCTGCCTCGGTTTTTCTTTGTAAAAGACTAGCAACATATTTTTTTAAAAGAAAGAATAGTGGCAGTGCTGTAAATATATATTTTTCTCTCCTTTTCATGGCAAAACTATCCAGATTCAGACTAATCTGACTGCTGCTCTGGATTTTCTGGAGAGGACAAACTTCATTAAAACTGTCCTTGTAATGAAGTCCCTTGTCCCAGGTTTATTTGTTTAAAATATTTTTAACCCTTCCTTTCCAGACTGAAGAGTATATGCAAATATATATTTATAATTTATATTTATAATTTACATATATTTGGCAGGTAGGAAGCTTATCGATTCCACTGAGTATTATGAGAACTTGCTTCAAAATAGATGTGCATGGGACTGCAGTTGACTTTGTGATGAAACAAATGCTTCAATTGCCTTTGTTTCACTACAAAGGCAACATACAGTATCAAATATGCTTTCTAAAACTCCTCATTTTGTTTCTGTACTTAGCTAAAGTCGTGATTTGCAGTGTCAACATGTTGAGTGTTATATGACCAGCAGCAGAGGGAATGTTTGATATCTTAGGCTCTATTCATGTTACACTAATTCAGACATCTTGGTTAATATGCTGTCTGCCTTTTACTTCTTAGTATATAGTGAACTTTAATCAAGCTTTGTGGCTTTTTGTGTCTTCAGCGTCAACCGTACTAGATAGACCACACCAGGAAATCAACTCCACCAGAAGGCTGAAACTTCTTTTATTGGTATCAGCTGTAATTGCAGAATCTTGCAAGTCTGATTTTGTTGTGCCTCTTCCTTCTCTTTCTTATAGTTAAGTGAATTGAGGAGCGGAACTACTCCAAATGTTATCTCACTGTTGTGGAGTTAAAAAATGTTTCTGCCTCCTTTGCCTTGGCAACAGCTTCTGCATGCCTCCATCACTGTCATCTTCCTTCATGTCTACACCCAAATCTGAAATAGCCATTGTTTTTATTTTTGCCAAACAGGATTTTGTAATCAGACTTTAGAAGGCTACAAACTTTCATTTGTACAAAGCCAATATAGCAGGATTTCAGGTGAAGAGAAAATACTAGGCCTCAATCCTTGCAGAAAATCCAGTGCATGATGAATTTGAGTAAATAACAGTGTTATTTGATTTTTTTTTTTTTTTTTTTTGCTTAGTGGCCACTTCTACAGTAGAGCAGTTGTGACCTTGATTATAGTCCTACTAGGAGCTTAGTTTTCTTTTTAAAAACTTACTCCAACATAAAGGTATGCAGTTTTGTCATAATTCACACTCATGATACACCATAGCATAGTTTGGCCTTGGCTTGTGACAGTTGTCAAATTTATTGCGCAATGATGTATGTGACAATTGCCTTGCAACAGTTTGTAAAATCTTGAGAAACAAGCTTTTAGTTCAGTTACAAGTATTTAATGAAATAGCTTTACCATATACTTACAAGTTTTAATTTTTAAAATTAATATATTAAGCCTACCCACATCTTGGATATTTTCATGAACAGATTGTCTCAGATTGTTATGCCAATTTTTCATGGATTCTTGGAATGTTCATTCTTGAGCTATTAGATCAAAGCAACTCTTGTGGAACAGCAGCATTGACAGTAGTGCTGTTCTGTTATAAATGCATATTCTCAGTTGGAGCAGTTGTTTTTGGCTATTTGCAACTCCTTGCAAATTCAACTCCTGTGAGAGTTTGCAGGAAATAAATTTCTTTGGAGCAGTGTATTTGCTTGTGTGCACCATTGTAGTTGTCTTGTACAGACTAATACATTTGGGAGGGAAGAAGATAGTTGTGTTGGAATTCTTTTTAAAATGTTTTTTCTTAAAACTTGTTGAAAAAGTGAACTTGTCCTATGACCTCAAAGGAGACTCACCATCTGATGTTAGATTTTCTTTTTATCCCGGCACCTGTTGGCTTTTTTGCTTTCTTTGCACAAGGAAATGTGTATTCCTTCAGCAATGAGGAAGTATGTACTATATTAACAGCAATTAGCTCACTAGATTGTATTGACAGATAAACCAGACAGAAGTGTAGATTGTTATAGGAGTTTTTTAAAAAAGACCATAAACAAGAGTGAACTAGTTCAGGCAAGACTCATTTTAGTCTTTTATACTAGGATCTTTTTTTATGAGTAGAATTTAATACACATCCACGATCTTGTTTTCAAAATAAACAGTAATATGCATAAGAAGAGAAGTAAGAAGTAGTTAAGTAAAATAAAGGTAAGAAATAAAAGGCTAGGAAGGCTAACTATACATCTATTTTGTACCAATTCTACTCATTATACTTCTCTAAACCTTTTTATTGTGCTAAATATGGTCTTTGTGTAAACCACATCCATACACTGAATTTCAGGAATTTCAGTCTTGTGTAAGTATCCTTTGTTCCTTTTCTGAGTTCCAGCTGTTGATAAATGTGTATTTTTACATAGAATCTCATGGTAGTTAATGTGTGTCTTTTAAGTAATTCATAGTATTTAAGGATAGTGAACATTCTTTTAACATTTATGTTTTAACAAGCATTTGTGGACTTGCCAGAGATGGGTTGATAGTTTTCCAATCAATGTTTATTTTTATCAGGTTCAATTATTTCACTGTGGCAGAAAGTCACTAAATGTTATCTTGGCAATATTATCTTCTTTTTTCTCTCTTTTTCAGATTTTTTTGATTTAGAGAGAGCAAGATTACAGAGTTTGCTGAATCTTAATTTCTATCAGTCTTAGACAATATGGCCTGTAATGAAAAGATGGGATTTACCACCCATGAGCAGAATGTGGAATCACATGTTGTTGCTGTTTTAAGTAGAAGTCATTTCTTTGTTAAGTAGAAACTAACTATAACTAGTCCTTGCTTAACAATCATATATTTACTGACCATTCAAACTTATGACAGTGCTAAACAAAGGTACAGGTAGTCTTCGACTTAGGACCACAATTGAGCCCAAAATTTCTGTTGCTAAGTGAGAAAGTTGGTAAGTGAGTTTTGCTCCATTTTATGACATTTCTTGGCACATTTGTCAAGTGAATCATTGCAGTTGTTAAGCTAGCAGTTTCATCGTTAAATGGACCTAGTGTCTTCATTGACTTTTTTTTTTTGCAATGATTGTGTGAAAAACGGTCATAAGTCACTAAACAATTGTTGTAAGTCAAGGAGTACTTGTAGTTATTTATATAATTTATAGATCGCCCATATCATTGAGAACAATTTTGGGTGGTTTATGCTTGGTCCCCAAAGTTACAGTATTGCTGTTGCAGCGCCCATATGGTCATGTAATCAAAATTGAAGAGTTTGTCAGCCCACCTACCCTTATGGCCACAGGAGCACTTCAACTGTTTCCATCCGACTTTCTCCCCCATCGATCTGCCCTGTTGGCTGCCCTTTACAGCGACACTCTTTGGCCAGCGCCTTCAGCAATCTCTGCTGGCCATCACTACTTCAATCTACTTCAATCTAGTCCCAGTGCCACCAATGAGTAGTGGTACCTGGAAGAATGCCATAGTCAGCCACCCCAATACCACAGTGCGAAGCTCCAGCCTTTTCAAAATTGTGGTATGTTACAAATCAGATTATTACATATAGTTGTATGTCAAAGCATTAATTGTATCCGACTTAATGGCATTATATAAGACTAGGTCATTTTGAGAAATAAGCAATTATTTTAGAGTGTAAAGCAGAGGTCTCCAAACTTGGCAACTTTAAGCCTTGTGGACTTCAACTCCCAAATTCTGGGAGTTGAAGTCCACAAGGCTTAAAGTTACCAAGTTTGGGGACCCCTGGTATAAAGTATAAGTTGTATGACAGCATTCACAAAATGGCAGTTTACTTGAATTATGTTAAAACAAGGTAGAGAAAGCATGCCAAGTAACAGAATAACAAAGTTGGAAGGGAACTTGGAGATCTTCTAGTCCAGGGGTCGCCAACCTTTTGGACCTCCAAACTCATAATTTTAAATCCCGGGGACCACTAATACGAATTTTGACTGATGGTGGTTTGCTGACGGTGGGAGAGAGAGAGATCTGATCTAACCTCTCCCTCCCTCCCTCTCTCTCTCTCTCTCTCTCTCTCTCTCTCTCTCTCTCTCTCTCTC